GCAGGGCAAATTGCAGTCCTGAACTATGGAATCGGGGCTTTAAATTGCACTTGAAACTGAAGTTTCAGAAAACTAAGATCTCTCACCGACGAGGCGAGAAGACATCTCTTCTGTTTTCTCTTTTCCGGCCCGCTTGAGAGAAACTGGCTAAAAGAAACTCAGAAAACGCAGTGTTGGGAGCCAAGAAAACCCGCCGACAACACAATAATCTGGACGCTCGATTGGCAAGAGCTATTATTCGTCCTGTGAAGACTGGACTGGACTGGACTGGAATTTGAATTTGACTTGAAATGACTTTATTTTCAAGGCCATTCCGACACGATCTGGCAGTTCAAGTTCACCAACCATCAACAATGCGTGTGGAGATAACTTACATCCTTTTAGTCTTTAGTTTGTTGTTATCACTCGGAATATGTGATGTTTTTAGGTAAATTCTGTTTATTATTATTATGCTTAAGTATAGAGTGAAATTGCGTCCATTCAAATCATTCCGCCGGGAACTAAGTGAATACGGTTCGCTTGTCACCGATGCAACTAACCAATTGTTCACGAAGTACATTGGCGAGAACAAGTCTATTCCGGAACAGCTCAATAACTACTTAGATGTAAGTCCATACAAAAAAATATTCCATTCAGGCACAATACTACGGCGAAATCGGTATCGGAACACCACCCCAAAAATTCAACGTCATTTTCGACACTGGATCTTCTAACCTTTGGGTTCCTTCGAAGCGCTGCAGTTATACAAGCTGGGCCTGTTGGCTTCACAACAAATACAATTATGCAGCTTCCTCCACTTATGTGCCCAACGGAACCGTCTTCGACATTCAGTATGGCACCGGCAGCGTATCGGGCTTCATCAGCGTTGATACATTCGAGGTAACCTATTGTGTAACTGTTATATTCTCTTTTAGATTGGTGGGGTCAATGTGAAACAGCAACCGTTTGGTGAAGCAATCAAGGAACCCGGTATCGTTTTTGTGTTTGCCAAATTCGATGGCATTCTTGGAATGGGGTTCAGAAGCATTTCAGTTGGTGGCGCGATAACGGTGTTCGAAAATATGGTTAATCAAGGTCTTTTGCCCGAGCCTGTATTCTCTTTCTACCTTAACCGGTAGGTTTCTACTCCATCACCATATGGTAGAAACTGCCATCTTTAAGGGATATTCCGTAGCTAGATTGTGGTCAGTATCGAAACTTGACCATTATACTTATAAGTCCCTGATGTTTCACAGCCGAGAGTGGCATATTGTTTCAAGGGTTTTATAGATAGATTTAAACTGTAGTCCTATTGTTTTTTCTACCTCTGCGCTCCGGAAGTAATTTTCGGGGTCTAAATTACTTTATATTAGCCCGCCATTCTCCGCCGGTTATACAAGACGTGTACAGAGAAGACCCTCGAGGCTGGGTTTATTGCCGGTCGTAGATGCACCGATCAAATCTTCACCTTCTGACAGCTGCTAAAGCACCGGCATGCCTATCATTGTATTCTTAGATATCCGCGCGGCCTTCGACTGTCGTCAGGATTGCACTATAGAACTATTTCTCGAGGACTGGAGCATCAGAGAAGTTTGTGTCGATCCTCCAAGAGTTGTATCTTCATACCTCAGGTCGGGTTAGGGCCGCTTTCGCCACCCTTCGCCGTCTCCAGTGGAGTTCGACAAGAATGCGCTATATACCCATTCCTTTTCAACTTCGTCATAGAGGATGTTCTACGGAATGCTTTGCCCGGTTTATCAAACAGTGAAACCGAACTCATCCCAGGGAAGAGTCCTTGACTTAGAATATGCCGATGACATCGACTTGTCGGGTGACAGTACACAGGCAATCCAAAACGCTTTGAACTGATTGGCGATCAAGGTATCCAGATATGTGTATGCATGTATGTATGTATGTATGTGCTTTGCACTTTCCAAATGCAAAGTGCTTGTACGAGATTGGCAGGAGCTCGTGTCTGCATTCACCTGTAGTGATCAGCTGAAAGTAGTTGAGAGCTTTAAGTACCTCGGGAGCTTGATCGCAGCTGGTGGTGGTGTTGCGGAGATCACATCACAAATAACGAAAACTAGAGCAGCTTTCGCCAACCTGCGACACCTGTGGCGCCGCCATGACATCCGACTGTCTCTTAAGGGAAGAATGTACATCGCCGCTGTTCGTAACGTTCTACTTTACGGTTGCGAAACATGGCCCTTCCGCGTTGAGGATGCTAATCCATTTTCTCTATTCGACCACCGGTGTTTCCGAAGCATTGCTCGTGTCTGGTGGGAACACGGTGAGTAATGACGAGGTTCGTCGTCGTGTACTGAGTGCGGATAGTCGTTTTCTAACAAGTAATCGCTCTACACCGCCTCCGATGGCTTAGTCATATTTTGCGTATGCCGATCTATCGACTGCCTTTCCGTACTGTCTTTGCACGTGCCGGGAAAGGCCGGGAGAAGTGCCACGGCGTAGAGATATGAAGAAGCTGGCCTCAGCTCCATCTGTGACTTATGGGGAGGAGCGTTCGTGTGTTTTAATGTAGAGTTTATTACATTGTCTGAAATATGTGTGGTCGGTAATTCTCTTGTGAAAGTTAATTTATCCTTTTGATGTCACTGTAGTGTTGAATTGAAACAATGAATTGGATATTCAAAAGTATAAGTTTTGTTTGCACAAGATCTGGTTAGCAGAAAAATACTTCTAAGAGGTTAAATCAATGCCATCATCGGTATAAACCGGGTTTAATCCTGAACATTGATACCACTTCTTGGACGAATAAGAGATTGTTTGCAACTAATTGATCAAGCCAATCTTCACGATGTATTACATTTTTCACTACATATTATACAGTCGATTGTTCTGGTCACATTCTGTTTTAGAAACGCTTCCGATCCTGTCGGTGGTGAGCTTCTTCTGGGAGGTATTGATCCGAAGTACTATACAGGAGAAATCACGTATGTTCCTGTCACTCACGAAGCATATTGGCAGTTCAAAGTCGATAAGTGAGTTTTTGTTGGACCGGTCTTTAGGAACCGGCGTTGTTAATTTGCTTGTATAACTCAGCTCGTCTTTTTCCTAATTGCTGTCAGTCCGAATAGCCGTAAAATGCCTATGGCGGTTCGTATATACTCCTTTTAGGTTTTTATGCATTGCTAAAACTGAACCTTAACCTGGATTGTGCACTTCTGTGATCCAATGAGCTACAGAGGGTGGCCTTTGTTTATCTGACATAATGATTGGAAGGTCGAAGGATAGAGGTTATACAAAGTCCGGTCCTATCGTCCCATAGGTTTTGAGTTCGAATATGGTTGGTGTGTCAGTTGGTTAAAATGATGGAGGAGTATTCGAGATAGGCTTTTATTTCACCTTAGTCACTGCCTTTTGACCAGGTTCTTGTTAGAACTGATGACTTTAGTTGAGAACCCTAATTGTTCTTCTGCTTAGTTGTTGAACTCCCTAAAAGCATCTTTTCATGAAACTCCAAGAAATATAAGCTACAATGACTTCCATACTGCATCGATCGTCGTTCAGGATCCATCGGGACCGCCCTGCCCATTGCACGACGAGACTACACATTGACGTGGTGTGATAGCACCTCCCTGACCCAACGAGCTACACAGGATGGTTTTTCTCAAGCCAGGCGATCTTATCATACCTGGAAGGTCAATGGGTGGAGATCCAACAAAGTGCAGTCTCCTGGGCCTCCAGGTCGGAGGGTCGATTGGAATTTGCCTTTCAATCGATAAAAAATGGTGGAGGAGTAATCAATCCAAGTAAATGGGCCTCCACTCTGCTACACCCGCTGCCTTGCGGCTGGGTTCTTGTCAGAAATAAAGGCTTGGGACAAGAACCCTAACAGTTCTGCTTAGTGGCTGGACACCCTAGCAGTACACGTCTATCAAACCCCAATGCATACACAAACTAGAAAAAGTTCCATACTGCGTCGGTCGTCGCGCAGGATAATCAGGATCGCGCTGCCCATGGCATAGAGCGTAGTGGGTAATGATAAGTGAACTACTACTCAGATTTCCCAACCTTCGTTTAATTCTTTGTCTTCAGTACCCATTCACCCTTTCTTCCAACCTTAATAGTCCCTCAACCAACTTGGGTGTTGCTCGCCAAAGGTCGTTGCCAAATAGCACTGTAAGTAATGTACCACGAAATGAATTGCAGATTTTTAAACCTCTTCAATCACTGAATCTGAGGACTTTGATGCAGGTAGGTTAACAAGTTCGTCTGGCGCGTGCAATGTAATCCTTAGGAATCGATATTTGCTGCGTGTCGGAGACTCGAATTCATAATCCTACTACTATAAGCCACTTGAACGCGCCAGATTAGTCGTCGAGATACGTTCTTCGCACATCAGTCGACGATGAAGCTCGTTCAGTAGGTCAGCGCGGGGTAGGTATTGTACTGAGTAATAGGGTGGAGTCCTCTCTTATCGATAGGATCCCCGTCAACAATCCCTTATGTGCAGTGCGTCTCTAGGGTTCAATTAGCGTCCAGAAGGAAAGCAACACGAAAAGGTGTTTGTTCATTGTATTGGCATACACACCGATCAATTGCAGTTCTGATACCCAAAAGGACGCTTTCTACGATGAACTCATCGATCTCATGCGTCTGAGTCGGAGCTCTGACATAGTTGTTCTTGCATGTGACTTTAACGCGCAAGTTGGAAAACCGAACGCATTAGAAGCTTACCTAGGTGGTAATTGTGCTCTGCCCTGTCAACGAACAGATAACAGCGACCGACTTTTTCAGTTCTGCGCTGATCACCATTTGTTCCAATCTAGCACCGACTCCCGACATTAGATCTCTCCCAGAAGTCGTTTGTCCTGATGAGAGAAAAGAGGCATATTCTCATCTGCTGGGATCAACCGATAGCGTGTTCAGTGTCAGCTCAGGAAAAGCTCGTGAAAATTGATTGGCTAAAACACCTAATAAGATGGAAGTAGCCTCTCCATCAGGGAATGTTCAGACTCTTATCTACGATGCAGCACCGGAGGTTACCGCATACCTGTCAGCGAAAACCTTCACGATAAAAGTAGAAAGAGCATCCTCAATAAAGGATAGCAGCTGGATCTTTAGGGAACAGTTAAGCTGGTCTAGAACTAGCTCGGTTATTCCAGGGATTGAAGTTAAAACATGCGAGTTGGTAATACACGAGCCCCCACAGAGTTGGAAGTAGAGATTGTACTCAATCACTGAATAAAGGTAAGTTAGTTGAGTCGGAAGGGCTTCTCCCCGTCCTTTTTAGGATAGGGAGTGATTCTCATCAACTTTTACTGATATAGTACACACCCTTTCGTCGGAAAAGCGTGCCCCTTCATCCTGACCCGAATCAGTTATCATCCCGATATTCAAGAAAGGATCGCGCAAAGGCTGTGCAAACCTCCAATGGATAAGTTTAATCCTGATCATCACAAAAGTGTTAGCTTCTGTGTTACTGCACCGTTTGATGCCCTAATGGAGACGAATATTCGTGAACAGTTAACAGGATTCCAACCAGATCCCAATTGCATTGACTAAATTTTCACGTTACATGAATTTATCGAGTTACGTCACACATATCGCCAACCAACGAAAGCATTTTTGACCGAAGAAGAGTCTTTAGTCATTTGACCATCAAGCCCCAATGGGTTTGCTTAATCGAAAAGTAGGATTTAAATCTACCGAGGTCACAATCCTCGCACATTCCGAAGTGCAAAATATACTATACTATACTATTCGAAATCAGCAGCGGTGTTCACCAAAATTGCCCCATTTCGCCAACCCTGTACAACTTCGTGGTAAACGAACTAGTGGAGACCGTACTAAGTGGTCTCCGAAATGTTGGTATTGAATGGGCAGCTGGACAAAATCTGTGAGATTTACAGTACGCTAATAACATCGTTTAATTGTTCGAATGTACGGAGGACGAAAAGAGCACACTCGATAGACCAGCAAACTTTGTAGGTTTATTCGGTATTCACTTTTCACTTTCAAAGTGCCAAGTGATGCTGATATTTGATGGTCAGGGATTAGTATCAGCAAATTGCTTTTCCTGCTTAGGTGGTTGAGTGATGAATGACAGCACAGTAAAAGGCGTCACCGTATGTATTTCCAAGGCACGAACAACGTACTCGGGACCTAAACGCATCTGGCGCCAACGTGGTATTTCGGTGAAACTGAAGAGTCGCGTATGCTTCGCGTCTGTTTGGCTTTACGGCTGCGAAACCCGGAAGTTGAGCCTGAAAGATATCATTTTCTTTAAGTTCTCGACAGTTGATGTTTACGTAGTTTGGCGTAGGTTAAATACTGCGAGTGGATATGCAACGCTAAGGTTAGCAAACGATTATTCCGGAGGGATTCAATGGTGAATTCTGTATCACATCAATAGATTTCGCTGGTTACAACGTTTTGCTCTTCCCCCAGCTGTCGTTATCTGTATCACACTTTGATCGCTTTTCCTGCTCCATGTTGGGGAAGTTAAGTCGTCAACCGGTAAAGCGGAAATGAGGCTTGAGTGAATGCTTAGGGTGATTATTAATATTATCATTATTTCACATATCTGATCCAGACTATGTGCTAAACAAATCACGGTGCAATAATCCTTATGATACTACCAGATTGCCTAGGCAAACGCAGATGAATTTTCTTGGAGGATTCACAACCGGAGCCTTCCGTTAACCAAAGCCTGGCCCGCAGGGCGATGAGACGGTGTGAGAGAATCGCAGACCGGTATCTAGTTCATCCCATCATACACCCCTTGGACGGGGTCAAACGTCCAAGGTGCCCAATTAAGCCGATGACCTCTCACAACCAGGAATGTGTGTGTGGTTCACACCTCTTGGTTGGTTTGTAATCAGGGCTTTCAACCAACTCTCTTAGATAAGCTGCCGGTGGTTCATCAGTGAGGTTATAGCCCCGGATTTTGACTTTTCGTCCTTTCACTTTGGTGAGAAAACCTTCACGGGAAGGCAATGGGTGGGGCTTCCTCAGTAGAGGCTGTTAGAGACGCTTCTTCATATCGAAGCATTTCGCTAGCTGCAAGGGAAGGATGACCAACCACTCCCCGACCATACTGAGGGTTTCGGAGTTCTGGATGGTTACCTAAATTAGACTTGTTCAGTCTTTCAGGTTGGGGTCTGAGCGACTCTGCAAGTAGATACACTTACGGTCATGGCAGCGAAGTAACAGCAGTGACATTCTTGTCATCATTTTTTGTCAGACCAGGGTTCTCGAAAATGTGTATTCATGGTTGGGGTATGTATTCTGCGTGTCAACCATAGAGATTCACCCCCCCACACACACTCAAAATCAACCCAATCCCTCTCCAACTTACAAATCATCGTTTAATTATTGTACATTGTGGGTTTGACAGCTATTGTTGATGTTTACTTCGCTGTATTTCCTTGTACGGTAATGATGGTGAATTATTAACTTTTTGGTGTTTCATTTTCGAATACCATCAACAGCTTATTGTGACCCTTCACATGTAAGTCTCCAATGTCACTTTAAGTGGTATAAAGTAAGTATTGTTCATTAATAAATCAATTGTATTACGTGTCATACACTGAAGATAACAGCCACAGTCGCAGGATTTTGCCTCGTATTTATGGTAGCCGGCGGCGTTGTCCACGAATGAATCCTTGGCGGTTAGTACGAGCGGTGGGTTGGCTGTTCCGTTCCTTTGCTCCCTGGCTACTCACTCAGATCGGTAACCAATCTCCCAGGATTGCCGTAGCGCGCGTTAGGAGTAAGTCGTTTAACCTGACTGTCATCTCTTTTGGGGCTCCAAGGTTTCAAGGCAAATGACAATTAAAAATGGCTCCCATAGTTTAGTTCAAGGCGCAGTCAATCGCCGTCTGCTGTTCATCACATGAAAGTGTGTAATAAAATCTAAAAGAAATCGCACTTCGAGAACCGATGTCCTTATTATACGAGACTGAAATGCTCTCATTAGCCCGTCAGACGATCACAGTTAGCATATTCTGTAGAAGTTCGACCTATGTCAGCGTTCTGAAAATGTCGAACGCCTGATCACATCTACTGACCTTAACTGGATGATCATATCTAACGCTCGTTTTCAGCACCCGAGAAAACACCTTACTTGGTACTCGAATGCTGAGCGGTCGGTACACCAGACTGGTTAAATTTTGGTACCTGTCCCGTGGGTTGATTACTACCGTTCTTATCGCTACGCAGAAATCAGAACGGCACATATTATATCCTTTCGCACGTTCTATTCAAGAAAGTCGCCGGAGGACCCTCCAAGGGCGATTCAACGTCGCTCGCTCGGAACTAGGTAGGCGGTACTAGACGCAACAGCCTCCAGAAAAGGTGCAATCATTCTCGAAGACAAAACTGTTAACACAGTGGTCTGCACCACAAATGTTCATCAGGGAAGCTGCCCTGGCACAGTTAAATAATACTTATTCACAAAATAACTGGATCTCTGAGCGTAGAATGCAGTTGTTCGCATTGACAAAAGAAGTGAGGCTAATTGAATCTCCTGTATTCTGTAATCTGTGGTGTCAATTTACACTGCAATGGGAAGGACTGAATAATTCTGGAGGTTGATCGCACATAGCATGAAGACTGTAACATCAACCATCGTATCAGACTTTGGAAGCCTTTTTCCGTTGACCTGTATCGCATCAGGGAAGAGAAAATGTTCAGAGCAGATGTTGCACGAAAACAGGATTGGGTAGAAAAGGCAAAGGCGGGTCAAACGCTTCTACGGTGGCTGCTCAACCGTCCATTTAACCAACCTAGCTGTCCATAGAGGGGGGGGCTGGGAGATTCTTCCTGCAACTCTTCGGACCCTTATGAAACCCCCTGCGAAATGATCGTGCACATGAAGCTTCGAGTTTGCCAGATCTGCATCCACCGCATCTTCACTTATGATCGCTATGGATATAAGGTACAAGGAAGCCAGAGTTCTTCGATCATTGGTGCTCACGTCGTATCTCGAAAGTAAATTGGGATGATCAGGTTTCTAATGGTGTAGCTCAACGGCACTGCACGAACATCTACCATCTTTNTTCCCAAATGCTGCATCACCGACGCCCCCACTTGTGCTGCCATGTGCTCCGAGATCTGAAACTCAATTATTACATCAAACTAGATCCTGCACTCTGCCGTGGGTGGCGCTGCCGGCTTGGTGACCAACTGAAGACGTGCAGTAATGTGATCAAGGTGCCTGCGGAACGACTGGGTCTCACCCTGCCAACCTGGCCACCAATCGCCACTCTCGGGTTGCCATTATCAGAGTCATCTAAGAACCCGACTTGTCCTCGCATAAGAGTGAGCTGCGTAAAAGTAAAACTCCTTTACATGACTTTCTGATTAAATAAATAGCCTGTCTCTTTAGATGTGTATTCAGGCTACTCATTTAAAAAATTATTAACAAGGCTAAAAGCTGTGAGAGAAAACCACTAGACCACGAGTAGAGGTAGAAACTGCATCAGTGTTGCAAAACGCGTTGATATTAAGTAACTGGCAAACACTGGTTCCTTCGAAGCACCAAAACTGTCTACGACCTGCTCGTCTTTTTCAGTTGATATACTCTTAGTTACCGCGGGTATTTCTACTGTTGATTTCCCGAAACACGCTAATCTTCTGAATTCACCTCGCATTTCTGATGCAATTTAACATTTCCTCAGAATGGAATTTCCTGGCGTCTCAATCTGTGCTGATGGATGCCAAGCTATTGCGGATACAGGAACATCACTAATTGCTGGACCCAAAAAAGAGGTAGAGGCGCTCAATGAACAAATGGGTGGCACTTGGATCCCTGGGGGTACCTACATAATAAACTGTGACAGGATGAGTAGCCTATCGCCGGTAACATTTCACATAGGTGGTCGAAAAATGGTTCTGGAGCCGGAAGATTACATCATGAAAGTAAGTTTTACTATTAATTTATGTTCACGATGTGAATAATTTGAAGGTTAAAACTTTTTTGGTCTCCTTGAGAAACAGTTACATCCTTAGTTTACATAATGTAGCCATTTCAGCGAAAGACGATTTTATGTTGTTATTTGCAGAATTATTCAATTGTTTGTGAAATTATTACGTAAACATGTTCTCACTGCCCCGTTTACCAGCGCTGGAGTAAAGTCTATACGTACATATATGTTTATCACTCGTCTCATCCTGCTTTCCTCCAGCTAAGTAAACCTACTGTTGACTGATGTCCTCCACATGAGGTTTCAACTGGTATGCAAAGCACAGTTGACACGATAATCCTACCTCAAGAATAGGTCCTGTCAATGCCAGCAGTGTTACGGAGCATTAATGAGATTCCTCGTGGAATTTTCCAGGTTTCTAACTAACCATTTCCCTTGGATCCAATCAAAGAAACACAAGAATACGACACGACAGTGACGCTACGAACGACTATCATTCCTCCATTTGAAGTCAGATTGAGACCCGCGATTCTTCTTTCAAACACACAAGAAAATTAAGCAGTTTGCAGTATATACGTGTTTGGCTGGAAGACATGTGCAGTTGAAATGGCAGTTGCTACATTTCTTTTATTTCAAGTGAAAGCATTTTATCCGTCAAGTCTCATCGAAATTCAAACTTTTCCACCAGGCCTATGTAAAGTTTTAGGAACTCATAATCAAGTGTATGAAGGTTTTACATGTTCTATCCAATTTTCAGCTCAGTTCTCTATGCGCTAACCGGTTTAATTGCCACCCCCTAAATCTCACGAACTGTTCGAATAGTCACTTCTCTTTTGGGGTCTGTTTTCATATTACTCCACATGTTTCATTTACTGTGGTGCTCTTCTGTATTCAGTTTGATGAATGAAACTGTAGTATATCAAATGTGACACTTCCTTAAACAAATTACGATTCATTGTCACTTTATTACCAGATGAGCAATATGGGGAAAACGGTGTGCATCTCGGGCTTCATTGGTATGGACATTCCTGCTGGACCGTTATGGATTTTGGGCGATACGTTTATTGGAAAATACTACACAGTATTCGATCTGGGTAAAAAACGCCTTGGCTTTGCCACAACGAAGACTCAGTCCACCAGAGAGTTACCATTGTCTGTGCCAATGGTACGACTCCAACCATCTGTTCGTCGTCACGAATCCGCCACAGGTCTGCCGAAAAACCTTCTTACTTTCTGGCACCTATTGAATTAAATGGATATGCGTGCCCCACTGACTTGATATAATCATCATATTTTGTTATTCTTGCACTGATTGAGCAATCAAATTTGTAATTCCCAGTTGCTTATTTTTAATTGATCATTAATTCAGTAGTAAATATATCTTCGCTCAAAAAATAGTATTTCTGTGTAAATGTTGTCGAATTAGTAAGTAGTAAATTTGATCTGACTGGGAAAATCATCGATGTTACGATATTTCATGAGCTCAGCGTCAACGAGGTCATGAACTATCATGAAATCAGCAATACTTTTTTGTCTCCTAGACGGAAGAAACAACAAAGGTTCTTTGTGTATCTGTTTACTATTTTTCCGTTCCATATTTTACACTGGGTGTTACTTCCAAAGAGACCCGAAGCGGCGATGACACATGTCTGTGACAATTAGGTTGTGCCAAAAACCTAGGCCACCAAATATATCTGGTCTTGTCGAAACTAGCCAATCCCAATAATCCAATCCAACAGGCGATGAACAGTTGTGACTGATCATGAGGTATCAGTACTAATTCGTGCTATATCTCGCTATCTACGAGAATCTCATAGTACACATTTTACTTCACTCATGACTGACCCTAGGCGTTGCAGTTTCTATTTTTTCCCGTGAACAATAAGAAAGTGGAGTACTCCCCTTCTCGATCTTCCCTCCGACCTGTAGCATCCTTATATTTAAACCTACAATTTGTTGGTGATAGGTTGAATATTACTTTCATCTTCCCATCCAGAATACATCAGTGGATTATTAGGGTCTCCTTCCTTTATTGTATTCACTCTTATGTAATAACAGTTGCTAGGTTCAAAACATTCATCGCTTCAGTGGTTGAGTGAGACCTTTTTATCTTGTCCCGGGAACAAACTTAATTATTTCGATTTTCTCCGTAGTTAAGTGTTGACTGTTCTACTTTGTTATCTTAAAAAACTGGCTTCACTGTACCATGATTTGAGAAAGAGTTTGGTAGCGATCAGTGAAGCTGGCTTCACTGTCTCTCGCTGTACGATGATGATGAAAGATTTTGGTTTCATGGCGACAAGAAAACAGGAAAAGATATCATTTGTGCTATAACATTATTTCGCCTTGTATTGATCGAAAAAGCAATAGACAAAGGAATTAGAGTGTAATTACATAAACCAATACTTAGTAGCATACATGATTGAGAACGTATAGTTGATTTTTATTTTGTACGGAAGAGCTTGTTAGAGATTCTGAACAGTTGGATACAAATTGGCACCTGGTATTCGCGACACGAGGGTCTCCATTGGTATGGCGTCGGTTGCACTGCCTTGGTTCAAATTAAGACGCATAATCCATTCGATGCTAGTATTCACATCGACCGGAAGAGGACTGCCAGAAAATGCAACTCGGCTATTCCTTGATCTCTGTTCTGACGTAACGGCGGTGGTTGGCGATACTGACTCGATGGCATGAGCCAGCTGTGCTGCATTGACCAGTTTACCTTGGTTTTCGTGGTCGCTGTATCGAAGTTGAAAGTAGATGAATTTTTATAAAACAAATGCCATTGGTGACTATGGCATACTTTGAAATGAAATCAATTTATCAAGGGTCACTGAAGCTGCTAATTCTAAATGCCACTCCTCTCTAACCGTTGACAAACATAATACCCTTGTGTGAACCGAAATATGTAGTTTTTTTGTGACTGAATATACAAAAGATTCCAATTTGCTACTCAGTGTTTGCGGGAGACTTATTAATCATGCTGGTTTTTGTCCTTGAGTAGGGACCGCCGACAGCAATTTATGTTCCGTGAGAAACACGCTGTATTTGGGTTATGGTTCTACTGGTCCTCCCTTTTCATGTTTTTTGCGTAAAACTGATACCCCGTCATGGAAACAGAACTAATCTGCGGCAATTATTGATACGATCAATATATTGCTTCACGGTTTATTTTTTTCTTATCATATCCCCAGATATACCTCTCTTCGACTTCACATGAGAAGAGTTCTTAATTTTCTCTTTGACTCTACCTTCAATTTTCCTGTTCTTCTCTTATTGTTCATCCTAAAGGGTAGCCAAAAGACAGCAACCAAAACCGGCACACGAAAGTGCATGGGTAATGGTTGGTTATTCAAACTGAAACATGAGTAAACTTCCTTAGGTATCTAACTTTTATTGCTCTACATACCTGGATTGAGGCCTTTATGACTGATCTTGGCGCAGTGCAAATTGCTATCGTTTGTTCATCGGTCGATCACTAATGTGTTCAAATTCAGCCCACGTTCTGCAACAGTTTAAATTTTTCGCGACGCCATATTCTAAAAGTTGCCATAGATGTATTTTTCAGTTGGTCCTACGACTAGCCGGTCGCCGTCAGTTGTCTAAGGTCGTAACGGCTGTCACCTGGGGGTCATGTTCGAATCACGAGCGACACCCATGTTTACTAGCTCCGTATCTCATCAGACAGCCTTTGATTGATCGAAACCTCCTTCCCGAAACTTATTTGTATAATTCTATGTTTAATAAAGTAAAAAAGCTGTATGCATGGTAGTAGGGACACGTTAGCCTGTGAGAGTGAAGAAGACTTCTATTTTCAATGGAGCTCACATATCATAGAAGATACTTCAAAATCACGAGTGCCCTTGGTTTGCCCCAAATCACAAAGGAGATGGGTGATTTACAAAAATACTTTGTGCAAGCCTTGACGGTCTCTGTTATTTTCCAAGCCCGCTACCCACACAC